ATTGATCCATCCATCGGTTTGATAAAAGCAATCGCTAATAAATAATATTTTCATTACATCGCGAACAACCCAGCTATTTCTAAGTACACAAAACCCTTCAGCCTTCTTTTTGAAGCAGCTATTTCAAGCTTCTTTTAGTAGACTCGTAATTACCTCAAATGAAGCAAAGGGCGTATGCCACATTCGAGTGGGATGTTACTCAAGCAACGGAAGAACCATGCAGATGAATCTACAAAAGGAAATAAAAAGCAGGAAAAAAAGAATATCTGTAGATCTACCATTTGGGGAGGAGTTAACCGATGAAACATAAACGCCAGGAAAATTAGAGGGTCTCTTTTAGATTTCCATCTTTTTGCTATTTCAGAGACTTTTATTTTTTCTTTCATCCTCTCTTTTCTTTCCATCCTCCTATGGAACTTTTCGTTCGTTCGAGAACTTTTTGGAAGAACATGTTTTGGGACTCCATATTGTTCAAGAAAAGCGAAACGCCCTGTTTCTTATCAAAACACATGGTTTGGCGAGAAAAGGAGGAGGAATAAAGGAGATGAGAGAATAAAAAATATATATATATTATTCTTAAATGCTGCGAGCCCATTTAATTTCTGTTAAATGCGTGTGCCGAAATTACGTTTTAGAAGGTGCATATTAAAGAAAGGATGACTGAAAATGAGAATGGGGAGAACAATCCGGGCTACAAAAGAAAAATATTATTTCTTTAAACGCTGCTATTTTCGAAAAAGAATGTCGAATCTTCTTCCTAGGCTTTATTAGAATTATTAGGAAAAGTTAAAATTTTCCCAACAAAGAAAAGTTCCGCCAAAAACCCCAATTGAATTGAAATAATTGTGCAGTAAACAAACAATTATGTGTGCGCAAAAGGTTTGCCGTTTTATTATTATTATTATTCAAAGGAGTATTAATAATACTTTTCAACATTATCAAGTATAGTTATATAATAGAGCACCATTCGACAAGTTTATTAGATAAGTTTATTTTTACTTGCAATGATTAAGGTGACGTTTTTCAACTATTTTTTTTTTGTTTGATAAGAAAATTCCGCACAGATCTGGATAAAGCAGTTTACGTGAATTAAACTTGATGTGAAGAACTCTTTTTGTGGAAAAACTATTGTATATGTTTAATTCAAAATAGTAATTTCATTTGTAGAACGAGATAAGTATAATTTAATTTATAACCGGCGTTGAACAGCCGACCCAATTCCGAGTTTCTTCTTCTTCTTCAGGAGCGCAACAGCCCTTTGCAAGCCTTGGCTGCCTCAACAGCACGCCTTCTCCAGCTCCCTCTGTCCATGGCAACTCCCCTCCAGTTCTTAAGTTTTAGGACTTTGAGGTCGTTTTCGACTGACTATCAATATTCAACTCCGTAGCCTTATAATTTTAAACCCCATCCAGGAGACAAGGTAAAGCCTGGATCAAGCATTGAGACAAACTAGCTTTCATGGAGCACTTTTTGATGGAATTAACCAGCATCTGCGTTAGATAGAGAGGAAAACCACAAAACCTCCCATGGTTAGCCCGATGGTAAGGGATTCTAACCCATTATCCGTCTACCATTGAGGATATTTTACGTCAACACTGTAGTTGGTGCTAACCGGGAGCAGAATTCTTACCAACCAGCCACCTGGGATTCGAACTTGGGTGACTTCACTGGAAGGCGAACACTATCCCCTAAGCCCCTTTGTTTTAAAAAAGAATGTCCCATATTAGAACAGTGCACTTACGTTTCAGTACTATCTTAAAAGGGGGAATTTTTTAAGTATAAAATGATGCACCTTTAAGAATAAATATTTAAACTGTTTACTTGTTTAATACTTACGAAAGAATTCTAGTAACCATAGGACAACAGCATGGAAAATATTTATTGCAAGGGATATATTGAATTATTGCACAAATATTCTTAAAAGTGATTTGTGTTTTTATTCTCAAGTAACGTAAATGAACATTAACTTCATCTGAACGGTTTATTCAGGCTACTAAGTTTACAGGGATCTCAACAGTTTTTCAAAACAAAATATGGGTAAAAAGGTACAAAAACAGCGAAAAATGTAACCAATATGAAAAAGAGAACCAGAGACCAAAATTTTTTCCAATAATAATTCTTTTTTACAAATGTACTTTTAATAGATCTAGAGGGCTCAGTGACCTCTGGTTGCTTATGTGCTTTAAATTTTACATTTCATGTCACTAAATTTTCCTCTTTCTCTCTATTGAAGAATAAACATTTTGCCACTGAGTAGGGAAAAGAAAAATATCATAAAACTATATTAGCTTACATAAATATTAAATTAAAACTTTCTAAATAAAATAATCAAAATAAATTTTCTTAATGAAAGTAGACTGTTTTTCTTTTTTATCAAAAAAGAGGAAAAAAATCTAAATTTTTGCTAGCCGTATGGGATTTTTCAAAAAATACACCTTAAAAACACATAACTTACAATTTTATAACTCTTAAACTGATTCGAAAATTAAATGGTCAAGATCTCCAGAAATAAGAGTAGATGGCTACAGAAAATCATAATTCTCATGCCAATTAGTTTTTTTTAAAAATCCAATTATGCCGATCAAAATGAAGAAAAATATTAGTATTACTGGATTTGCAAAAAAGTAGTAAATAAATGACAATTAAATTCCTCATTTCTAAAAAATCACGAATATAAGTTATATATTCCTCCATGATGCAACCCACTCAAATCTCAAAACTTTTGAAACAAGGGATACTTAAGTAAAACTACATATTCTAGACATTTGTAAATAGTTAGTGGACAGTTCTTAAGTTCAAAATTTGACGACTTTAAAATTACAGAATACTATCATTATTAATTTAATAAATAAAAAAATAAATGATGGCATACGACAAATGTTTCAACGTGATGAAGATGATGTAAGACTGAATTGACAGGAGCGTTAATTGAAGAATTTAGATTAGTAAATGACCCCCTTCTAGAGTTAGTTAGTTTCGTTACCAAATATTTATCTAAATTCTTATAAAAATCAAATAATTAAAGTCAAGTTGTTTCAAAAGATGTAATTATCTTAACTTTTCAGAGAAGAAACACTTTCGGTGAAAGATATGAATTTTTAAACTGCGATCTTATAATATTAAAAACACTTTGAAGAAAATATAATATAAGGGTGGAACCATTTTTTGAAATAGACTTTCTATTTCAAAACAACAAAGGGAGCATAATTCAGGAATTTTCATTTTAGGTCATTTAGGTATTAGGTCAAATTTAGGGAAAAGATATCCAGTTAATTTATTTTAATAGAAATAAAAGCTGTTTAAAAATTAAGATTGAAAATTGTAAAGAAACGGACTTGAGGAACCAAAGGGTAAAAAATGGTGTTAAGGGTTAAAGGGGACCTAATTTGGGAGCCTCTATTTCAATATAATTGGATTTATTACTTCAGTGTCAAATGCAGGAGTTGAAATTAGGGCTTAAGACTTATAAAATTGTAGGGATAATTTTTCTTTAAAACTTATTGTAACTACTAAATTTCCAGGGTAACTGTAAATCTAGCAATTACTTTTTTCAGAAAGCAAATCATACATGGAATTAAAACTTTGAAATTAAAGTACGTTTAAATTCTTTTTTCAATTTTTAGAATTTTGCAAAAGAAGAAATGAAAATTCTTAAAAACTCCAATCAACTAATAAGGTTTTCGGCTTTAAAATATATTTGCAGTAAATTTTACCAAACTGTACGTTAAACGAATTAGCAGGCATCTTCGAGAAATTAAATGTTAAAACAAATTGAAACATTAAATAAAGTAAACTTCAATGTGTTTTTTAAGGTATAAAAGTAAAAATGAAATTTTAAAGATACTTAATACAATTTTTTCTGCTCCTTAAACCAATTTTGTTGAACACGGAATAATTATTCAAACTTCTTAAAATACAATGATATTTGTATGCGCCTACAAAAAATCTATTTATCTAAGTTTAACTTTTCCTTTTTTTTTCTTTCGCCTTTAAATCACAAAGTTCCATAAAACCTATAGGATATTGCAGATAAATCTGATTTAAAAAAATTTCCATATATTTGGAGCAGTACAGCAGAATGTTACTTCACAGTAAGTGGAACTGCAACTCTCACTAGCATTTGCACAGTAATATGTTACTTCAAATAATCTCTAGCTGCCAACTCTCGGAATCAAAACCAGTTGAAATATCATCTATGTTCCAACTATTGTGCGATGTATTTTTCTATACTTACTTAACCATGCATTTTTTTGTAAATTTAATAATTATTTTATTAAAATTTTTTTCTCAAATTATTCTTGAAAATAGTTTGTTTCTTGTTACAGGGCCATCTAAAAAGCAGAACACTCATACGTAGAATGTTCTGAAGCGTAGAAGTAGCGGGATCGATTATGATTAAATAATTGTATGTAAAATGATTAATTTGAATATTTTTTTAAATTTCAGAAATGTCAGTGGTGGAAGATACTAAATGACACTCTTTGAGTTTTTTTTTCGTTGTGAAAGAAGGTTCAAAGTGCATTTTCTTCCAGTTTAAAGCAATTATAGAAAGTATCTTTTTTAAGAAGAGTGCAACGCTAGAGGCAAGCACCAAAAGCCCAAACGCTATGACTCAAACAGTTTAAGTGAGCTTTGAGAATTTAGAGATTTCTCTAATTGGATTCTTGCAGAAAAGAAATCGAAGCAATGCATCAGCTTTATTTTCTATTGTAAACGTATCAACTTCACTTCTAATTCACTCAAACTCAAAAAAATGCCTCTTTGAAACTTCATCCACATAGATCTTCAATTCAGTGTGAAATATAATTAGTAATTAAATTGCTGTATGCAACGCATATACATTTCTTTAAAATGAAATCTAAGAGACTATTATGACAACCATTTCAATAAAAAAAATTAATTTAAAATTTTTGGAAATATTTAAAAATAAAATTATCAGTAAAGATACAACATTTAAGAAAGGAGAAAACTAAAAGAAAAGACTGAAATTCTGATTAGTCATTAGAATATTTACTTAATATTTTACAGGGAATCTTGCATCGTAAATCTAATAAATAATGTTTTATGTGATAAGATTTGAATGATCACTTAGATGTTTCTTTTTGTAATTAACAACATTGGAAGACACATAGTTATGTTTATCTTTCATGGATAAGTTTGTGGGCGAGGGGCTCTTCCTTGGATCAAGAGTTTGTGTCGGTTGCTCTGCCATCTGAGATATCAAGGGACTAGATCTCATCAAGTTGAGATTATAATTCGAAAAACTCAACCCAGAACATGCGTCACCATTTTTTAACAATTTTTCTTGGCCGTCTTCGTCGTTGCTACTCACAGCATCAGACAAGGGAGAATAACTACGAGACTCGACATCGTAATCGTGCCTAGAAGATTTCGTGGAATTGTTGATTGCTGCTAATTTATTCTGAGAATGTTTCAGCGACAAGTTTTCTACACCATCGTAACATTTACCAGATAGATGGTTCTCAGAAACTATTTCAGCAGCATTCTGTTCACCGGATTTGTTTGAGTTTTGCAGATCATTTGACAAAGATCTCTGCTTTTTCCTATGTTTAGGAGGATCAACGGAATGCTTTCTCTTTTGATGTGTTCCAGACACGAAAATTTCATCACATTTTGACGCTAAAGCTAAGCATTGATCTTTCCGTTGTTGTTGTAGTTTTAGCATGCTATATTTGTCCATTACTTGTGGTGGTATAGGTATGGGTATTGGTATAGGTAATGGCACAGGAAGCATCAGTGGAAAAGGAACCATAACTGTGACTGGAGGAAGAAGCGAAGATTGGGATAAGGGCGTATCGGCTGCGACAGGACTGGGTTTGTTTTGTGAGCTATTGTTTGGGTTTATGGAAGAATGCTTATGATGTTTGTGTTTGTTATGGTGTGAACTTTTCTGGTGAGAGATTTGATGAGAGTTTTTAGATGGAGGTGACGAATGCAATACAGAAGGACTTCGTGAATTTGCAGTGGGCGGATGATGTGGAGGTGGTGGTGGCGGCGGCGGATGCATTTGTGGAAATGGGGGCATAAGCCAAGGGGGGATTGGCAAATGTGGTGGAAGCTTTGATCTTAAATCCAAACCATGTTGAGATCTTAGCATCGCTTCCATTTGTTGTTGAGCGAAAAATTGGAATGGTGGCGGAACAACATTAGGATGAAGAAATGGCTGACGACCATGATCTGTGAAGTTGTTGGAATTTATAGGTGATGGCACAGGTGGGCAGTGGCGAGATGCTAACGAACCCATATGAGGAGGATGTCTTGGAATAGAGCCTACAGGAGGAGGAGATAACAATGGATGAGAACTATCTACCATTTGTCCGTTTCTAATTTGTGTAGGTGGGGAGGCTTGAATAGGGGATTGCCTTTGATTCAAGGGAAAATCTATTGAATGCGAAGTGTTTTTCTTTTCTCGTGAATGTTTCTGCGTATGTGATTTATTCTCGGATGACAGTTTTTTAGATGAATGCTTAGAGGAATGTTTTCTTAAAGACTTGTCTTTTTCTTTGACAGGCAAAGGCTGATCTTGTTTGTGGTCCTTTGACTCCTTTTTTTCAATAACAGGAGAAGATGAAGGTTTCGGAGACTCTATAAGCGGAGCAGGAGATGCCACTATAGAAATGTTTTCATCTGAATTTACGTCTTCCATGATATCAATCGCTTCGTGCGGTGATCTAGAATTCCCATTCGTTTTACAGTCTCTAAGCCACAAATCTGGAGTAATTAAATTAACAGAACCAGCAGCAGCAAGTTTGCAAGCAGCTTCTTTTAGATGCGTATGCATCTGTAAATGTGCCTGAGTCTCTTTACAAAATATGTTCATTTTATACTGATTTAAACACTTATCGCTGCAAAATTGCAGTTGTTGCTCACCATCTTGAAAGTCTACGTAATTTACAGTGTGTCGCACATGCTTGCACCAATCACAGATTTTATTCTTTTTAAAGGAAGCTCTTCTGCACTGAGTGAAGCAAAGTTCGCTACAGAACGCCTTTGATCCATTTGGTGTCTTTAGCGTGAACAACTTTACTCCAACTTTTTGACACCAAGCACACACAATGTAGCCAGGTGGAAGATTAGGAGAATCTGAAAGTGAAAAAAGAACGCAATTCAACACCATGTTAATTTATTATATAATACATATTACTTCATTGAATCTAAAAACTACATGCTTTCCTGAATTTTAAAAACTAGATGCTCTAAACGAAAAACTCTGTGTAATGTATTTCCAACTCCCGTCTAAAAAAACTTTTAAAACAATCTACTCTAAATAAGTGAATTTCAAACATTTATTTATTATTCTTGTATATGTTTATCAGTTGACTACAATATATTAAATCAATAACTAAATTCGATCAAAGAAAATGCCTTAAAAATGAATAAATTATTAAAACTTATTTTTCTTAAATTCGTAGCAACCACCATTAATAAAGTAGTTTTTAGTGTTGTTTATATTGTGTTTTCTTTTACTTTTAATGAACTGCCTTTTCTGCCAATGTCGGAGTTCAATATGGCAAAATCAGAACTCAATCCATTATATCAAGTCTCTCGCCTATAGAATAATACAGCATATAAGCAGAATTTGAAATACCGAAACACAAAAAGCACAAAAAAATATTAAGAAGAAGATACGAACGACACATAATATATAAAAATTACATTACTAAAACCCAAAAATTAAAGAAAATATTTACAGGAGAAGAATGGAGTGCTGAAGGCAGCCTGGTCAGTTAATATAGCTGGTAAACATTTCATCTATTCTAAAACTGAATGGAAATATAATTTCGTCAATATAATTAACTTTTTTTAGGCTCAAGTATTTTAGAAACTACCGTTAGAGGCTTAAAATTTAGAGGATTCTTTCGTCTGATTTGTTTGTTTACAAGGAAAAAAAATCTTAAAATTTTTCTTCGGGTTGATTGAATGTTTTTAAATTATTGGTCTAATATTTTTCGGTTGATTGAATTTTTTACTAATATAGTTAAAAAAAATTTAAATTATATTAACTACCCGAAGAAAACCGAGATAGTCTGGTTTATGAGGGCGTTGGGCGCATGTCTTAGAGGTCGCGAGTTCGATTCAGCCAGCCAAAAACGTCCCGTGTACAAAATGGAGATTGGTGAATATTAAATCTGTCGGTGTCACAAAGTTCTTCAGTTTTCTATAACAAAGCAGTACCTCTGGGGATACTGGATTTGAGATTGGTCGTGCTCTGGTTCAGTTAAAATTACGATCTGCGGATGGATGGATAGTGTCCTCCCTGTAAAATGGGCTGTGACGTATATGTGTGAAAGAAGTCGAATTCTTGGTCATAGATGGCGCCACTGGAAAATAAGAAGAAGCGCACTCTTTTGATTTAATGGCATGCGACAACAACAACTACGAGAAGATTTTTTAAAATTTTATTCCAATTATAATTAAACAAAAAGAACTTAACATGTTATAAAGTATTACTTAACAATTTAACTCTACTAATTTTAAGAATTTCGTGGAAATGTAACCAAATATTTTAAAACCTGGAAAATACTATTTGCAAGTTTGTTAAACTTAATACAAGCATCAAGACTTTCAATCATATCAAAACTAGAAGAAAAAAAAGCAGATTCAAAAAATATTCAGTTTTTAAAGAAAGAAATGCACACTAAACGTCACGATACTTTCCAAAAAAATTATAATAATAATAACAAGCAAATAAATAATAAATAAATCAGTACAACGTTGAGGGATAATGTTGATAGTTTGAACTATAATATCGTGCATAGTGGCTACAACAGTAAAAAGAACATATTTCAGTTAAATTTGAACCCAAGTATCACGTAATTAAGCAGGGCGATAGTGTCATTCAGCACATCATCGTAATAAGATAACAGCATATTTAAACGATAGTGTGGTAAAACGTGATTCTCAAAGTTTCATGAAAAGGATTAAATAAAGCTACAGTAGATATAAGATTTTGGGAATAGAAAAATGAGGATAAAACCTATACGCGTAGTGTGACAGTAAATGACAGATAATATGGATTCAAAACCTCGAATTTGATAGGAAAAAAAATTGAGGTTCTATTCTTAACATTGACATAGAGTTTTTATAAATGATTAAAAAAAAATTTTTAAATTTTGTTAGAGAAGTATTTCTAACTGGGTCAAATGTAGATGTCAAGCTTGATTTGCTGTTGAATCGTGAATTCAGTTCTTGTCGTAATTTCGCAGCCAATCAGCTCCGACACCCACGAGTGTCGTCGCATGCAGGTACCCCATTGAATCTGATCCAAAAATGGATACAACTTGTAACGTTATAATAGCTGTAACGTTAACAAATCGTTTTATTTATGCAGAACCTGCTGAATTCAGCAGGTTGTTTAGTAATAATAATAATAAACAAATAAATAAATACCTACATGGCTACTTAAATTAGCAAATATGTGACTTGGTGTTTTTTAAATAAATACTGTTCAAACCACTTTTATATTGAAGAAATATTATTTTTTATTACCTTAAGAAAGTACATTAGATTCCGCTTGCAAATAGAAATTGAAAAATTAACTAATTAAAAGTAAATTAAAGTTTCTTTTAAAAAAACTAATGGATAATAATTAATAATGTAAGGGGTGTTATTATAATATAACAATTTTTAATGTATATAAGGGGTAAATATTTTTTTTAAAACAACTGATTTGATATGTAGCAGAGAGTTAGGAAATTTTTTTTTATTAGATCTTCTAATAATACATAATTTAGATCTGTTAAAAAGCAAAGTTCCAGACAAGGTACAGGATTCGTAGTTTGAAAAACTTTGTTACATATTGTAAAGTTATTAAAAAAACAATATACTAATAAAATAATGTGTTTAAAAAAGCATTTTTACGATGTTATGGTTCAGAAAAGGATTAAGTAATATATTTAAATATTATTTTAATAATCATTAGAATATTTTCTTAAAAAATGATTTTAAGCATTTATTTTACTAGAAAAATGTTAAAAACATGGTCGTCACCCAGTTAGAATCTAAAACATATTATTCTAGTGTTATTCCAAAACTGAAATATATTTTTTCTGAAGAACTTATACAATTTCTGAAATCAGCATTTTGTGAAAGGCAGTTGAGCATTCTACGTTTAAATGCTTTTAGATTATTGAAGAATATCATCATCATCATTTTCGGCACACAACAGCCCTGGGTGGGATTTGGCCTTCTTTAGTACAGTTTTCCAGTTCACTCTTTTGCAGGGAACAGTTCTCCAGCTCTTTTCTTTAATTACAGGAAAATCTTGTTCTTAACAGGTTGTCCCTCTTTCTCCACCCCCTCCCCTTTCTGGTCTGCTTCTTTGCTTTTTATCATAGAGAATTTGAGTCCGTTCTTAGCAAATGGCCTGCCCATCTCGTTCTGTTTAGCCTAGTTGATTTTATGATGTCATCAGTCTTATATAACTTTTACAGTGAGCAAAAAAAAATATCACCCTGAATAACTTTCGTTCTAATGATCGGATTTTCACGTTTTCAGTGTGAGTCTTAATGGTTTCTGGGGAGAATTAAAATATGCAATTAACTAGTGCTAACTTTTAATTAAGTTGCGAAATCAGGCCAAAAAACGCACTTTTTTTGAATAAACATATTTTTACATAATTGGATTCTTTGAAAAACTTGGATCAAAATTTAGGGCGCTAGGAAGTTTTATATATTTGGCGTCGTCCCAAAAAGAGGCCAAGAATTATCTACGTAGCAGGATTAGAAATTTAATCTAACCATACTATAGCCGAGTAATCGACAAGGGTGTATAGTTTTTGGAGTTGGGGTAAATTAAATACATTTTTAGACACAAAACTGTAGTTATCGTGCAAAATGTTATATAAAATTTTAAAAAAAATGTTTAAAGGAATTAACGCAAATATATAACTATAAGTGTGTTTGTTTTTTAAACGTTTGCGCTTTTTTTTGTGTGCATTAATTCCAAATATTGATTCTAATGCTCTTAAAAATATGTTTTGCCAGTAAGCAAACAAACAAAAAACGAATGAATAAATAAATAAAACTACATCAATGAAAAAGTATGTAAAAAATGTGGCTACATGCACAGTAAAAATTTTTAATTTACCTCAACACAAATGGTGGCAAATATACACCAAATCTTTTGAGAGTGTATTATCTCCTCCTAAGAATTGAGCTTTAAATAATGGTAGTAAATCTGATTTTTACTTAGAAATATGTAGCTTAGCAAAAAGTAAACTCATAAATATGATAAAATATTTTTTCGTTTAAAAAATTTCAATTAATAAAGCTTAATTAACTTCTTTTAGTTGTTTTTCATTATGGTATAAAAAGTTATGCAGTTTAATTATTAGAATTCTTGTATATTGTAGGGTATTCTTATAATGCAGTTTTTTAAATTTTAGTCATGAAAAAATCCACATGGTGAAAAATTTCTGATTAAAGTGCTGGTACTTTTTACCGTAAAATCCCTTTTTATAGGAACATGTGACTGAACAAAATACCTGATATACCGCAATTATTAGAAATTATTACCGTATCCCTGAATCACTGAAGTTAAATAAATATTACAGTAAAAATTAAGGTAAAATATTTCACGGTAAAATTGGATTTTATGGATGATGCACCCAAAGTGCTGGTATTTTATGCCATAATTTGAATCGGAATTTTTGACAGTGCACTAGATTCCAATAATAAGATACCTATATGCCATAAAACTGTCCAAAATGTAACTTGTATCGACTTTCCTACAGCTCTTATCATTTTTCATAAAAACTCTAACCGTCGAAGGTAAGTTCAACTGTATTTTTACATAGACTATCTCTTTAAAGATATAATGATAGAAAAAAAATCTTTAAACAATATTTTTTTGTGTGATAAAATTGTGCAGAAGTTGTCCTATGTATTGACCGTTGGGTTTTAAGGAAATTTACTCTTTAATATTTTTCGATGTTTTTTTTCTTTTTCAAACTAGTCTTTTATTAACCATGAACTTTTTAAGTCTAAAAATACATGATATAAACTTAACGTATTTTTTAAATAAAAATTTTACTTCATTTGACAATAACAACATTTAAAAGCAATGTTTTAAGAAACTTCTAA